TGTCTTTATGTTCCCTAAGACAGAAACAGCATAGGAGAAAATCTTTGGCTTGTGTCCTAATGCATTTATCGCTAGGAGTGAGGTATATATTTATTCGTATTTGCACATGTACACATAATTCTGTATAGCTCTTCTGTCCCTGTTTTTGGACAAGCAGAAATTTTACAATCAGAACCTTTGAAGTAATAATACTCAGCCTTTAGATTTCATGCTAAGTTCAACTGGCCTGTGGGCGCAGCTTCATATGTAGAGACATGTTACTCGGAGGCAGAAATTAACTTTACAGGTAAGGGAAGCAAAGTGCACAGGATCATATGTTGAGTAGGACTCAATCTTGGGTATACTGATGTGGAGCATTCTCTTCTGTTTACTCTTCTGTGGTATGTTTCTAAACATCCTATTGCAACACCAGTGGTCTGAAAAGCCAGCAGGAAAATCATAGTTGATTTGAATGTGATAACAGCACCAGTATTGCTAAAGTTAGACAAAAATTTCCATTTTCAGTGAGGTGAAAATACAAAGTATGTTTTGCATTAGAGAAGTAGTTCCCACCCCTTGCAGTGGGACTCAAGAACTATTTGAATTTTTTTTTTTTTTCTGGCAGGTAGTGGTAAAGAAACCACATCACTAGAAGCGTTTTTAAAGTTTAATGTGATATACTACTTTCAAAATTCTACAGCATCTGATTTCTCTTCAGAATCCATAAAATGGCAGCAATGCGTTATCTTTCCCAACAAGCAAACAGGAAGAATGTTGTACATTTTTCATATAAACACTTACTTTGAATGTTGGTATTACTAGGTGTCACCAGGAACAAAATCAACATTCTTACTAATGACAGCATTGGAATTTTACTAAAATAATGTCTCTCAAGACCAGGGCTAACAGTTCAGGAATTATGTTGAGTTGTTCAGTGCCTCAATGGGTGACCTCATATTCTGGTATCAATAGATCAGCATCTTACTGCCACACGATCTTTTCATCTTAGTGGGAAAATTTTCCTGTTCTAAAATTGCTGCAGTTACTGTTGAGTTTTGTGTCACAAAACAAGTTTGATGAATTCAGCTGATGCGCAGCTTTTTGGAAGTTTGAGACAGAAGTTGGTGGTACCTGGGAGTGTTGTAACTGCATTATAGTAAGTGATGCGAAACTAATAGGAAGTTTTCCCCCCCCCCTCTTTATTTTGGTATTTTCAAAGATAGGGGTAGGTGGAATGGATTTTCACTTCACATTACATTTCATATAAGTATGCTGAGACCATCATTTATGAAGACACAATGATTTTTAAAGCATTCAGGCAAAATACTGAAACTCGGTGCAAGAGAAAAGCAAGAACGGATCACTACATTACTCTGCAATTGGGGCTGAAGAAGCTTATGTGGAAAACCAGATGGACTCAAACTGGAAAAAAAAATTGCAAGAAGCAGTAGCAAAGGATTTAAATCAGGTGAGATTACAAGTGCTTTGGAAAGTTCTGCTGTAGATTCCAAGTTGCCATCTCTTTTCAATTTCAGTGTGTCTTTACCCCATGCACTGACATGACCCTTTATTCAACCTAGGCTTGGATGACTTTTGCGCTACCTTCCAGGAAAGGAACTGGTTTTTTGCAGCTCCCTCTCTTATTAATTTTGAGAAAAGGATTAAATCCTCCCTCTGACCAAGCATTCAGGCATGCTAAAGTGAAGCCACTTCATGCTCCTGGCCAAACAAAGAACAAAAATACCCACAATAAGCAAAAGCAGATGGCTTCAGTGGCAGGAAATGAATGAGCCAGACTGCAGGTAAAATGGTTCTCTGAACACATCTCGGAGGTTTGTAGTGACAGGTTCTTTGTTATCTGGGGCCTCCCCACAGGAGGCCAGATGTCTTCCGTTGTGAAAGGAGATAGATAGAGATGGTCTTCCTTTTCCTCCCCCTTTAACTTATGGCTGTTTAAGTTACTGCTAATGGAAGTAGAAGCCTGTTTTCCCCTGTGCTCTCTGATGTTTTTGGAAACAGAAGAGATAGTCAGTGAAGGGGTATTCTGATATGAAAGAAAAGGCCCAGAACTGGTCTTTACCTCCCCATGACCCTCATTTTAAAGAACAGGGAGGTCAGTGCTGCTAATTGCACTTGAAAGGATTAACCACTTGATCGCTTTCATTTGGTGGAACAAAACTATTCTTTAGTCTCAAAGCTGGAAAAGTGTATCAGCGGTATTGAGACATTTTCAGTGTGAGGTGGATGACTTGGTTTGGCTTCTTATACCAGTACTGAAATTAAATAGAGGATTTAAATCTTTTTACAGAGGGGACAGCAGAAGATGGGAGAGAAGGGGGAACTACATCTGCTGCTCAGATAAAACAGATTTGCAGCAGAAGTGACAATAACCTCCCTCCTGCCCTCATAAAAGGTTATCACAGGAATACCAACAGACCATGATTAATTATGGATATTAGATGTGCCTCTGTCACTTGGTATAAGAATGACTCTAGCATTACACTGAGGTTGCACTGGAAGAAAAAGAATCTGAACCCAATTCCTGGACACAGTGTTCCAGATTTAAAATCTTTTCTGTACATTGATTTCACCTGAGAATTAAAATTAATTTACTTTTGGAATAGATTCTTAATTCCCATTGTTCAAATAAAGTGAGGTACACAAAACTTAAATTTGGAAACCATTTTTAACCTTATGAAACTATTTTCCAAAAGTAACAAAGAACAGCTTATATAAGCTTTTATCTGACCTCTGCTTCTTAAATAAAAAAACATGTTTTCAGGGAAATGTGTCTTGGAAGTAACTCCCCTTCCCCCCTCCCCCCTGACTTTTCTCTCTGGTTCTTGTAAAACATTAGGTCAGTGGGTTCATTTTATTTTTGTTTGTTTAAAGTGGGTGAAAGTTTCCTTCTCAAGCTATTACACGTGTGATTTTTTTTTTTTAAATATTACAGCAATCTTTGTTTAAGAAATACAAGAACAGATGGAAATGTCAGAAGACTATCAAAATTCATACCAAAGGAAATAGCATTAATCATTGTAAAAAGCCAAAATAACCTCTCAATAGCAATAAGAACCAAATGAATAAGAAATGTGTTGTTTCAATAGCACTGAGACATGACTGCTGATTTTTCTCGTTGCCTGGCACTTGAACTCACAATATACTTAACAGCTGTGCCATTATATATGTATATTTAAAAACAATCTTTCTCATTCTGCCTGTGTTTCTCATGGTGCTGTTATAGTTCATGCACACTTCATATGCACTCATGTAACTTAACTAGCATTTCTTTTTGCAAACGGACATATGTTTTGATTGTCCACTGAAATGCATTTTTATATGCGTTCACTTGTGCAGATAAGCACACAAATCTGAAGATAAGTATGACTTGCAGAGAGAGTATATTTGTACCTTGTGTTTTAAACAATATTAACTTTGATTTTGATAGCTTGAAGCATTAAAAGACATAGTACAAATCAGTTGTTTGAGCCTGTATAGACTGCTGTGTAAGCATAAAAAGATTTTCTTGGAAGTATTTTTCAAGGCACTGTTTCTGTGTTCACAGGGTGTGAGGGCGCCCTCCTGGAGAGTATGCTACAGGTGATAATTTGAGACTTGTTGAGGAAAATATACAACAAAAACTTCAGAATTTTTGTTTAAAAAACAATCTATTGTATTTTTCAATCTGTATCACTTCAACAAGCTTTAGTTTTTTCTTAAGTAACACACTTCTGAGAGCATTGAGAAATATTTATTCATCTTACGTCATACCTCTAATGAACCATTTTTTCCACCTTAAGACTATAATTTTTACCAACATGAATTTTTCTGGCAGAACATCCTAGTATGATAAAAATATATTTGTACAGCTCTGCTTGTAAAGATATAGCCTAGGTCCATTATCTCTGCCAGCATTAGCTGTATGGTATAGCTTGGCAAAGACACTTGTATAATTACATTCACATGTGATGACTCTGCCAGCAGTGCTACACATACCAGCAAAAATTTCATCAGCATAGACAAAGTCTTATTTGTGCTGTTCAAATTTGCACTGTTACTGAAAAAGAAAAAACACCACAGATTCATAGTCTGCCTAATTTAAGGAAGTCTTGTCAGAAATGTTGTGGTCGGAACCACCATCTTCCCTACTTCTTGTCTCTGCAAATTACTTTGTCTTAGGTCCTGCAAAAAGATCGACATTTTCAGACAACTCCTACAGTGCAATGTGCCCCTTCTGCTGCTTAGAATACAAGTACGTGGCATCTACAAAATTGTACTATGATATGCCATAGTGACATTTGTAATGTTAGTGTTCCCCAAAATAATAATGCTATTGTATAATAATAATAAACACTCAACTAAACTAATTTATTTGAAGAAGTCTAGCATTATCCAAGAAGTTGAGAATAATCTTAATAGTATGTGAATGGTACTATAGAAATCATGCACTGTATAATGATGTTAAAAGACCGTTCTTTTCTATTACTAGGACAATTTTCCAGAATTAATCTTTAAAGTACATAATTTATATTCTATTCACCTAATTAATGTGGTCCTTCATTTTGTATTGGCACCCCCATCCCCCCAAATTAAATACCATCCTAATAATTTCAGTAAGTTTTTGATGTCATGAAAGTGAAATCAGTATTACTGGGTAAAACACAAAGAAAACACCTGAAACAAAGTATTAATAATAAAAAGCTATCACGCTAATTCCTTTTTACAGTTAGAGAGATCATTCCTTATGGCAAGAGGGGCCAAGTTGTCCTATCCCCACCTTAGGAAATAATCTCACTGTGATGAGCATATCAGGTCTATAGGTTCAAACACAGCAATATTTAGCAAAGCATAACTTTTCAAGTAAGTAATTCTAATCGGACTGCTCATCTGAGTAGTTCTACAACCTCAAATGTGCAGGATATGAGGTCTGCAGCTTACTTTTGGACAAACACTGTAGCCATTAAGAATACAATCTATTTCCAGATTTCAGTTAGACAAAAATAGTTACATTTGTGTGGCTTATTGTTACAAAAGAAACAAAATAAAATGTAGCGTTACTTACCTATAGACAGACATCTTACTCTTTTCCTGCACAACACTTAGCATTTTTAATCAATGTGTACATAAATGAAAAGAAAAAAAGCAGATTATCATATTGTCCTTTGTAGTTCTCTTTCAAAATCTCCTGATGATAGTCCACAAGGAAATAATAAATTGCTTCTATTGTGGAAAGGTATGTATCTGGCTTTCCCTTCTGATGACGCCAAAAGCAAGTTTTCCTTGTCTTCAACTCAATTTGCAGCAACCCTGTCAAGAAAAAAAGTTGATAGATTAGACAATGTGGATTGGTGGATGGGATGCCGAACACATCGTTAGTGTTGTTTTCTGACTTTGCTGCTAGCCTGCTAGATGCCTGCACACAAATAATTTCTCTTCCTGTAACTCCATTTTTCATCTGTAAAACGGAGGCAATAATTTTATCCTCCTTTGTGGACCACTCTGAAATTCGATGAAAAAGTGCTGTAAGTTCTAGGTTACAATCCTCATATTTGCAATTAAAACTAACAGGTTATCCCGTCATTCATACAGCCTCACAGCCCTCGGTAAACCGCAGGGTCTCTTCAGCTGGGAAGAGTGAAACCCACACCTACAAAGACTCATCAGTGTTCATAAAATGATTAATCAAACTTCATCTTTTGCAAAGCTAATACCTTTTCAAGTGTAAAACAGAATCCCTCAGACTGTTACTTGTACTGACTGAGGAGTATTTGCTAAGAGCCAGACACTTTTCATTTATGCTTATTAAGTAACTGAAATCTCACCGGGATTACTCAGAAGTAAGTATGACAGAATCTGGTCATTAATTTTATTAGAAAGTAAAAGCGGTCCCACTTGTGATGAAAGAAAGAAATTTGGTCTCTGTATGGCATATGAAAATCTTTTATCCACTATAATCTCTGTAATTGTTTTATTATTCAGGCGAATTTTAAACGTGTATCTTGATTTTTATGTTCCTTAAGATGCACAAAATACTCAAAACCACCTTAATGTGTAAGCACTTTGTAAACAGGATGGACAGTTGGATTATAAAGAATAGCATATACCAGTCAATACCAGGATCAGGTTGTAAAATTATCTTCTTCTAAATGTTAAAATCAGACACTAACTGTGTGTCATGGAATGGTTTAGTACAAGTAATAGTATAAACAACAATATGGTTTAAGAATTGCTTGGAAATTATGGACAGAGGAGTTTCTGTAAGGTCCAAATTCAGGAGCGCCAACTGGCCTATAGCCCAGCCCTTGTAATTCTATACTTTTAACCTTCAAACTACGTTCAATTCTTTCTAGTGTAATCGCAAGATGGATTTAGTTGTTTGCTTTGCCAGTTAGTAACGTATGATATCTCGCATAGTAAAAGAAATCTCCCCTACAGCATTTTTTTTAAAAAAAATGAACAACAGGAGATTCCATCACTGAATTTAAATCTTATTGTTGGCATTTTGGAACTAATTCAAAATAATGTAGTCTAATTATTACCTCTAATAATCCTATACATGTGTATTCAAAATAGTAATAGGAAACTGCATTAAGCTACTTTCCCTCCAGGTTTCAATACTTGAATTCTCAGCCCTAACCAAAGTGAAAACTTTCATCAGATTCAGCGATGTTTCCACCTTAACAGCAGTGAACTAAATTTAGGGGATGATTCCTCCAGTGTAAACTCCCACCTATTTGTGGTTTGAATACAAACAAAAGTTCATTGAAGGCAAGACCACTGACACTACTGAGCTTACCACAAATGCAAGATCAGTTAATTTCAAACATAGAATTTTAGGAGTCTTCTAACAAAAAAAATTAGAGGGGGTTAAGGGTTACAGTTTACTGAGCATGTTTCTATCATCTGTACTGTATTTGTATCTGTGCAGCCAAAGGCAATGTTTTACTACAAATACTGGTTGTTCATATGAAAGCTTACAATACTAAGGAAACCAACATGGTGGTTTTGCTTTTTTAGCATCCACGTACTTTGAGCTCATTAGAAATAAATGTTTCTATGAATCTGAGATCAAGAGAAATGGAAATACAGCTACCTTTAAATCTACCTAGGTAATGTAACCAAATTTCCCTTACAAAAGTTTTATTCTCCTGTGTATGTGTCTTATGGTAGACAATACCTTCCAGAGAAATCTCCCACCTTTCCTTAAGCCTCCACTTTTTCCTGATATGCTATATCCTATTATCACAGCATAGTTCCTGTGCTCCCTCCACTATAACAACTGAATGCTCAAATCTGTAGGATCCTATATTAATCATGTTTGATCACTGATGTTACATCTAAGAGAGATTCTAAGTTCTTATCAACAAGACATAAGTTGTAAAGTTTACACACATGCTGAAGCCTGTTGCTTACTCTGAGCCTTCCATTACCTCTTCATCCCTGCAGTTTGTATAGTGAACTGGGAGATTGACTAGTTCAAGAAATACTAGTACTGAAAACTTTAAGTAATGGATAATTATGGTTTGTACCTATGGTAGCTAGTAAGAGTCTAAGCTCTTACTAATGTGTCTATTGTTATTTGAATTATACTGTTAATTTCCTAAAGAGGTAACGGCTTGAAAATGCTCTTTTAGGCAGGAATTCTGCTCCTTTCCTCATCTTTTAGATTCCCCAGGTTTATGAGTAACTTAAGGCTCTAGGCTGAGGAAGAAGGGGTTTACATACCTTGGATTCACCTTGCCTCTGCTATGGCCCCCTGCATCACCATGTCAGCATATTTTATTTTAGAATGTGGAAACTCATGACAGAACTCCCACTTTTTCTTTGCATCACACCCCTGCGTGTGATTTTGAGGGAAGGAGAAAGATGAAAATGTGAGAAGAGGACAAGAGGTTTGTCAGAAAAAGAGGATGAGGGGAGTTTGCATCACAGAACATCAACTTACTGCTCTCAAATATCCTAGCTGTGCATATGTAAAGGCTACCATTTTCTTGCAGAAATGAAAGCAAGCACAGAAACTTAAAAAAAACCCAACCAACCAAAAAAAACCCCAAACTACTGAAGCAGATGCATGATTCAGCCTTGTACGAGAGAATGTATAAGCTAATAAAATAAGACATTTGACTAATACAAAGTGGATCAAACTTACAGGAAAAAATACCAAAGTAATCTGTTTCTTTAACAACCATGTTGACGTTGCCAATAAGCTGTTTCACTCATATGAGAAAGTAATCGTTAACATTAAGATGCAACTGTTTCCTTTCTGATCTGGTGATCACTTTTAATGAAGTCATCAATCTTAGCCGTTACCAACTTTCAAATATTTCCTGCCTTTAACACAACTGATTTAGTTTTGCTTTCTAAAGATATATTACACTACTTTTCCAAGATACAGAAGTATTTTTTTGTCCAAGTTTTGTAGGCTGTTTAAGACTGATGTACTCATTTGCTTTCTCTTGCAGTACAATTAGCTAGATTTACTCTCTACATAAATGCAGTCTTACAAAACATAAGGCTTTTCTTTACATTTTCTTGGCTTTGTTAATGTTTCCACCCAGTACTTCTTGTAACTTCATCTTTCTGAATAAGTACGGCAATTACTTTTTATTTGGAATTATGAACACTCCTTTTTGAACTTTAATATATGAGGAATATTTTGTTGGATGACTTCATTTGTAGTTGAACTGAAAAATGACAACACTAGTTCTCTGTTTTTCATGTGGGTATGTTGTGGTTTAACCTGGCAAGCAGCTATACACCACACAGCCGTTCGCTCGCTCCCTCCTGTGGGATGTGGGAGAGAATCAGAAAAAAGGTAAAACTTGTGGGTCAAGATAAAGACAATTTAATAGGACAGAAAAGGAAGGGAAAATAATAATAATAACGATAAAAGAATATACAAAACAAGTGATGCACAATGCAATTGCTCACCACCCACTGACTGATGCCCAGCCAGCTCCCAAGCAGCAGCCTCAGCCAACCTCCCCAGTTTTTTTGTTCAGCATGATGTCATATGGTATGGAATAGGTGTCTGGCCAGTTTGGGTCAGCTGTCCTGGCTGTGCCCCCTCCCAGCTTCCTGTGGACCTCCAGCCTCCTTGCTGGCAGGTCAGCATGAGAAGCTGGAAAGTCCTTGCCTTAGTGTAAGCACTGCTCAGCAACAACTAAAACATCAGTGTGTTATCAACATTATTCTCATTCTAAATCCAAAACGCAGCACTATACCAGCTACTAGGAAGAAAATTTAACTCTGTCCCAGCCGAAAACAGGACAGTGTACAACATAAACTTCATGAGTCTATGCCTAAAGAAAGTCTGCCCTGTTCATCTTGGAAGGCAAAACTGCAATCTCTGAAAGAAGCATTAATGCAGCTTATGTCCTTTATGACAGTCACTAAGGAAAGCAATGAATGCACATGTGCACACTGTTGTACCTGCTGTATGGAGGGTAAAATTCTCCCCTTGATGTGGATAAAAGAGATTGACTTGCATGATACTAATCACACCTTACAGCAATCCTGAAAGGTGCTCAGAGAAAGAGGACTGGAATACAGCTGGAAGAGAGATGAAGTTCTAGAAAGCAGGGAAGAGTCCACCAGATCAGCATTCACGAGGTAACTGGAAACCATTCTTCAAGAGCTCCAAAGTAACAACAGTCATGAATTTTTCACTGATAGACTGCATAAGCTTCCATGGAAATCTTCAGTTCCCCTGGCTGCCTGTTACTTTTCTTAAACTCATGCTTTTAAAATAAGTTCCAAATGCTTTACAGTAACTTACAACGTGCAATTACTCTAATCTTTACAGTAATGCTTCAATTTATTTGATAGAGTATGTTTTGTGATAAACTAAATACTTAGTAACAGGATTTTAATTAGCCAATACATTATACTAACATGTGGGATTCTTTAATAAACTGACTAGACAGCAAGGCAACATTAATTTTGCATTAATCTTGTAAGAAGTCTGTGAAATTCCTTGTAGGGCCCACTGCAAAGGACGCACTAGTAAGCAGTTATATATATTATGTATAAATTTGATAGCCTGCCTCCCAGCTAAGTGCACCTTTTTCACCAATGAAAGTATTTTCAAACTCCTATTTATCTCAAAGGAAATGGAATGCTATTTCTAAATTGTCTTCTCTTTTGTGGTTCTATTTAAAATGCTTAACTGTAAACTTCTTGTAACGAACCTAAGACAAAAAACCTTCGCAGAATTACAAGTTTTTGCTTTCAGAGACGGGAGGGTATGGAGGGCAAGCAGGCTCTCCCTTTTTGTCTGGAAAGCAGTGAGGTCATTGAAATGACCATGAAACAAAGAACTTTACTAGAAAAAGAAACCAAGCCGCGACATACTTGCGCTATATCCTAGATTGCTCTTTCACCTTCTAGAGGCCTGTTTGCCACTAGCGTGTACAAAAATTCTCCCCTGGGTCTCCTGAAAAAGCAGACAGCCACCTGCAAAGGAAATCTTTCTGGCTTCCTTCAGAGGTCATTCAAACTACTGTTCTTCTGTTGTCTAAGATGACAGCTTCCATTCTGTGAGACTGAGAAAATTTGTTCTAATAGAGAAGCAGGAGAAATAAATGCAAATGCTTTCTTAATACTAGCCTTAAAATTTTGCAAAACAAATTATATGATGTGAAAAGTAATGCAGTCTTTTGCTCAGGAAGTCTTCTACAGCACTGAAGGAGGCTGTTGAATCTTCCACATATACTTAGATATAGGGTTAGGTATATACTTACATCATGCTCAGGTCTGTTATATAGACATATAGTTCCCTTAGTCATTTCTATAGCAATAACATCTCAATATCAACTTTTTTTTTTTTTTACCTTGAAGTCGTTCATCAGTTATGATTTTGTTAGTTTGATTCCAGGTACTGTCAATAAATATTATTTTCTTCAGTCCAGTGCCTTCACTCCTGTTGCTTGAGATGCATTCATTTAGATTTTTTTCTTCTTTAGGTTCTATTTTTGCTTGCTTAAGAAATGGCTCTCCACAACAGTCATCGTCATAAACACCTTTCTTAGTGAATTTTTGGAGATGGAAAGCAATATCTTTTAGTGAAACTGAATTGGGACCAGGAAATATAAGTGCTATCTGAATGAAGAAAAGAAAGAAATCAAGTGTCAACAAAATCTAATAAACCACCAGGAATTGCTTCATTAAAGAACAGAAATTTTCTATCCCCACTCACAAACGTTTAAGTCAGAGGAAGATGAAAGAGTATCTCTTAAAAAGTATTGTCTGAAAGGATGAAAGATTATGTTAAAATAATGAATAAAGATACTTATTAGAGATCTTTAATTAAATGTCACCTCCATGCCTCTACTACCAACTCCAATACTTGTGTAAAAAAAAGGGTTTTTTTCAGCCAAGGCAATGGTGCCAGCCCTGAGGAAGTTCAAATTTCACTTGTCATTGCAGTATATGGGGCATGAAGCCCATGAAGAATAGTTTCTAATTTCATTCACAAATTTTAGATCAGAATAAACAATCTCTTCTTCCCTTGTGTCTATTGCAGGTCCCACAAATATCTTACATGAAGAAGACCAGTGACGGCCTGACTTAGTGTTTTTTCAGTAGCTTATTGCAGTATTCAGAATCTGTGACTTGGAAAGCCTGGACAATACAAAGTCACTGCAATCTCTTCCCACTTTTGCCTGCCTTCCCCATTCCTCTTTCTGCTTTTTTCAGCTTCCTCCCTCTTTGCCACCTATGCTTTCCTTGATGGCTCATTCCTTGAAGAAAATAACATCTCTGAGATACATATTATCATCTTCTTCACGTAGTCAAACAATAATGAAAGTGTTAACTGTGACGTCAAATGAGTAAATATTAGATTTCAGATTAATCACACCATTTAAATGAGCATATAAATCCAAGTTCATAGCTCACTTTTTTCAGGTTCTGTGATGACTGTGACAGACAATAGTTCCATTTCAGGTTTTCTCTGTAATAGTCAATGTTAAAAATTTTAAAGACGTTTAAACACTGCAGTTGCTGAATATGATGAGCACAACACCTAACTGCTGTTTAACTTGCTGTAAGTTGAATACTCGCATGTGTTTCAGCAAAATACTTATGGTACACAATGAATCAAATTATCCATTATGTAAGGTGGTGAACATAGGAAATTCAAAGTAGTTAGATAGCGCTACAGTTTTTCCAAGCTTTGGTGGACAGTCCATAACCACTGTATGTTTGTAGGCCCAAGCTTTGAGAGAGCTCAACATGGAGTGGACTGGATTAATAGCATAGCGCTTTCCTCCCGCTCCCTCCCAGCAGAGTGCAGTACCACCGCAGGAGGAAGTACAGAAAATACCTCTGCATCTCCCCAGCGTAAAGCCCTGCTATCTACATAGAATTTCTTACTTCATGTCTTTTTTCTGCGTATTCTGGAATGCAAGGGTATTTATAAATTGTAACATCATCGGGTGCCAGGAGCTTAGCATGCACAGCAGTGCTTTTGCCATCCGTTTCGTTTGGGTGTTTAATAATGTCAATCTTCAAAGGTAACTACAGTAAGAAAGAAAAAAAAAAAGAAATAAGCAATATTTATGATCATATATACAGGTAAAAAATTCATGCAAAATCCAAGAGCAATCCCTACAGGCATCTAATTAAGACATATTTGACAATTTTTGACAATGTTTTTGTTTTAATTGGTTTAGAACTAAACTAGACAAGTGACAAGAAGCACCTGTTACATTCTCTCAGTTCATGTAAATCCCGAAGTATGCAATGAACGCAATTTGGAATGCTGCAGTAGTAGAGTGGTAAAACCTCTAGAAACAGTATAAATAAGGTAAATAAGATGTGGTCCTAATTCGAGCAATATAACGGTCCTAAATATGAATAGTTATCTGTATTACATATCCACCTTATTGCAAAAATGGCCATTTTGATGAAAATACACCCAAATGCACTAGGTCAAATTTCCAAAGTACTTCTAAAGTATTTTCATGATGCTTTCAAAGTACAGAGTGTCTTCAAAATGCATTTTGGTTCCTAGGTGATTTTGCAAAAATGTGTCTCAGTCCTCTTTGATGGTTTTTCCGAGTATTTTAGCTAAAGGGTGTTACACCTATTATTCTTTATTTATATTTTAAGAGTGGTTACCTGAATTATACAACCATGACATTTAGGAATGCCTTTTGGCTCACATTTTATGTAAAATTCACTCTCGATTACGGACAAATCATATTTTTCATTCTGGCCGTATTCTGTTCTGGCCAGAGTTCTTAGAAACTGAAGAATGAAAGTAAGAGCACTGTAAAGAAACTTTTAAGAACTAACTTAAAACATTGTCATTTGCATGAGAAGCTAAGTGACTTCAGCTTATCTTCTCATCTAGTAGATGCATAAATGTTTATGTGAAGACTGGAACATTGTCAGTGTTTGTACATGTAATTCCTCAAATAAGAACAATAATTTTATCTAACTGTAGTTTATTCATACTTATAGCTGTGTTAAAGGTGAATGTCCACAAAGAATGAATCAGAAAAGAAACAGTCACAGACAGTCTGTTCTCTGTCCCCAGTAACCAAACGGCACAAGAATATTATAAAAAATCCGTAAGAAATATTAACCTTCACAGTTGGAATTTCTTTGGTAGGGACAGTTTCAACAGGAACAAAGCATGTATAACAATAAAACATCCTTGAACTCCTGCATCGGGGGCATTTTGATCTCCCACTCTTTTTTGCCTTTTCAAGTACTTCCTGCGATGCTAACTGCAATTGTTGAAGTGGGTTATCTTGAAACGATGATGGAGTCTGCAATTCTAGACTTCCCAAACATTCAGTATTTCTTTTTGGTCCTGGAGAGTTTTCTTCATTGAAAAGTACAGATGAATTTAAAGACATGGTTAGCTGAAACAGACAATATGTTGTAGCTGTTAAATAAAAATCCAATATCCTATGAACTCATTTATTTGAAATGACTCTGTATGACCCTATTTAGAAAAAACTACTCATCAAAGAAGGTATTTCCTATAACAGAAAGGATAATAAAATAATCTGATTCAGTTGTTATAGCACCAAGAATTCCAAACAGATTTCAGGAAAGCATGAGACAAATAGCTAGAAAGAACCTGATATCCGTATCCTTAATGCACATATATGCACATTCATAATTTTACTAAGATAAGTTATCCCACTCAACTCATGCAGAATTGTAGTTTTTTCTATTGGTAGGATCACTGTCTAAAAGCTTGTGAAAACACTGGTAGACAGTATTTAGTCCCATTAGTCTTCAGCATGACTACTGACAATGAATTAAATGCCTGCAGGACAGAAATCCGTAAGAGAAAAGTTAATTGTACAAATTTAGATCTCTATCCTGAAATTTATTGTGTATGGGCAAACCAAACTACCTGAATGAAATCCCTGTTGACAGAACTTTGTGAGATAAAAGAAATCTTCCATGAGCAAGGCTTGAGGCTGAAAAATTAGTCTCAAGAGCTAAAACGTGGCTTTGGTGCTCCATATACCAGATACTAAGTGCTGACCCAGTCTAGACTCATTCTGCAAGTTTGTTTTTATTTAGTAACATTGATGGATTTTTTTCAGGCTCTCTTAAGGACAGGTGTTGTCTCACCCTCTGCAGCTGGCATAATAAAGTTTTCACTGCGTACTCTTAGTAATGTAGCAGAAACATAACTGTATGCCCATACCCGATCCAGACAGAATTAGTACTGCTGTGTGCAGAGGTCCATAGTCACAGCTTTAGTGAAACCCTTCTGACCAGATCACTCAGGATCCTCTCTGGTCTTCAAAGCAGCCCACGGTCAGGAGCCTGCACAGCCTGCAGTAGTTATCAACTGCCTTTTGCACTCTGTGCTGCATCACTTAAAAGGATTCATTTATTTATTTATTTATTTATGTTCAGCTAATTTAGGTTTACTTTTTCATGTCAGGGATCACACTTGTGAAATGATGTAATGGTTAACAAAAACAAACAATAATTCCTGAGATGTGATCCAAAATTAAGTGTTTAAATAAAACCAAGTGTAATTTAATTGAAAAATAACAAAACCAAAACACTCTACTAACTTTCCAATAAAAATTTAAAATCAATCCCAGAAAAATTAGTTGTTATTTTCTGGTAAATTTAAATACTCGCGCATGCTATGATACCTTCCTCTCCCCCGCCAACAAGCTCTAACTTTTGAGAGGTCAGGGATGTCCATTCAAATAAACACAAAATCTAATATGCATACAAATTTTATAGTGCAGTTTGCTTTTAAACATCTCTGAGATAAAGCAAAGATACCCTACATCCCGGACTAACCCCTGCTATGATCAAGTTTCCTCAAAGAGGGCGAGAGGCCCTGTGATTTGACATGCATTCCCAGCCTGCACACTGATTCTGTTCAGTATAATGTCTTATGGCACTGTGGTGCTCAACTGACACCCCGAAGCACTTTCGTTATTGATACTGACAGGAGATATGCTGCTCTAAAGCAACAGGAAAACCTTTGTGGTCTCAAAATAATAACTGTCCATGAAGTTACAGCAGTATACACACAGTATACTTTTCAAAAAAAGACAGTAATAGAGTTTCATAGAATTATTAAATGGCTTGGGCTGGAAGGGACCTTACAGACCTTAACTCCAGCCCCCCTGCCAGGGGCAGGGACGCCACCCACTAGACCAGGTTGCTCAGGGCCCCGTCCAACCTGGCCTTGAACACTGCCAGGGACCGGGTGTCCACAGCCTCTCTGGGCAACCTGTTCCAGTGCCTCACCACCCTCTCAGTAAAGCATTTTTTCCTAACATCATCTAAATCTCCCTTCTTTAAGTTTGAAACCATTCCCCCTTGGCCTATCACTATCTACCCTTATAAAGAGTCTCTCCCTCTCTTTTATGTAAGCCCCCTTTAAGTACTGGAAGGCCACTATAAGGTCTCCCTGGAGCCTTCTCTTCTCCAGAACAAGACCATCTTACTGCTACCTGTTAAATCAGGCAGAGTTTCATAGATTGCCAACAAAAGAAACTATTTCACACTGGAGTGGGGATGGGTGCTTATATATATATAAAAAAAAAATAATACATGCCCAATTCTATGGATGCTAGAGTCTTACCTGCACGCAAGAGCAATGATGTTTCCATATCAAAACCAAAATCATTAACAATCAGGCATCCATATGTACCAAGTTCCTTTTGAGTAGGATTCCGAATCTGCACTTTTCCAATGGTGTCCAGGATCACCCTGCAGAATATTCAAGGAGAGACAAGGGTTACTACCCTGAGACAAACCCAGCTGAACCTTCCTGTGAGAGTTACAGATACAGCAGCAAAACTCCTTTTTAGGAGTTTACAGTTCTGGACCAGTGCATGCAGTAACTGTTCTGCCTCCTCTTTGGTGACAAAAGGGGAGCACTAAGCGATACACGCATGGAAGATTCTTCAGCCCTTTGGAGGACAACAAGTTTGCTACTACAAACCAGAATCCCTCGGGAACAGCATCATGAATAAATCAGACTACCACAATTAAAAGTATTAGGCTTGGCAAAAAATCCATCTCTCCAGAGCAAGCTTCGTTTTCAGCAGG